TCATAATAGTGATTCTAATAGTGTGAAATTCATGTTTTTAGATCCACATATTTATTCATCTTCTTACTCCAAAGTTTACATATTTAATTGCCACATTTATATAAACAACCTAATTTAAAGAAGAAAGAGACATTTTTATTTAATTAACAATATTGTTGTTATTATTGTTATCCCTGGCTGATTTACATTGTATCAAGCACCACACTAAGATAATTAATCAAATTTTAATAATTGAAACTTGAGGTAAGGAGTTGGGCTTTTTGGTTCCTGTTTTCTCCAAGAATCCTTAAGTTCTGCTATCTTCTCACCCACCTTTCCCATCATTAACTTTCTAAGTTCTACATATCAGTTTCTTTCATAGAACCCATTCATTGAAAGTAGCCCTAACCGGTTTGGCTCAGTGGATAGAGCCTTGGCCTGCAAACTCAAGGGTCCCAGGTTCGATTCCAGTCAAGGGCATGTATCTTGGTTGCAGGCACATACCCAGTAGGGAGTGTGCAGGAGGCAGCTGATCAATGTTTCTCTCTCATCGATGTTTCTAACTCTCTATCCCTCTCCATTCCTCCCTGTAAAAAAACAATAAAATATATTTTTTTAAAAAAAGAAAGTTTATGCTCACTGGACATTTTCTGTTGTTTTGTCATCATTCTTAATGAGAACATACATAAATCCCCATTATTTCTTTGCATCAGGAGAAAAGCCTAAAATCAAATAATACTAAATACTTAATACTCAAACAGTAAAAGAAAAGATGGGCAAAAGCAGAGCAAGAGAATACAATGGGGAGTGCCATCGGGGGGCCCGGATCTGTCTCTTGCTTCAACAGTGTTTGGACGGAACAGACCCAGGGACACCCCTTCTTCCAGCCTCAGGCCACTCTGCCCAGTCACCACCGTCAGAACCACCTTCCAGACCAGCCAACACAAGCCAACTCACCGGGTTTTTTCCTACCTTCACTCCTTATTGCCAAACAGCCCTGAGCTCCCAAATTCGTCAGAATTATTCCACCAACGCGGAGGCTGCAGCCAACCACCTGGCCAACCCGCATCTGCGGGCCCCACACCTACCTCTCTCTGGGCTTCTGTTTTGACCTAGACGACTGGCTCTCGAGGGCGTGGGCCGCTTCTTCTGCGAGTTGGCGGAGAAGAAGCCGAGGGCGCTGAGCGTCTTAAAGTTGCTAAACCAGCGCGGTGGCCGCATTCTCTCCAGGACGTGCTGAAGCCTCCCCAGATGAAGGGGCAAAACTCAGGACCATGGAAGCCGCCCTGGCCTCGGAGAGGAGCCTGACCCAGGCCCTTTGGGAGCTGCAGGCCCTGGTTCTCCCTGCGCAGACCTCAGCTCTGTGACTTCCTGCAGAACCACTTCCGGGGGGAGGAGGTGAAACTCATCAGGAAGATGGGCTACACCTGACTCACCTCCGCAGGCTGCGGTCCCCAGTCTGGGCTGGGCGAGTATCTCTTGGAAAGGCTCACCCTCAAGCACAAGTAGGAGCCTGAGGAGCTCAGAGGCCTTTGAGGGGCCCCTCTGTATCCCCTGGTGTCTGGCTTTCCCCTGAGCCTCTCCCCGAAACTACTAGCCATTCTTTTAACCACCCTGAAGCCCTCTCCCAGGCATGGGACCAAATGAAACAATAAAGCTTTTTGCAGAAAAAAGAAAGGAAAAGAAAATACAATGGAGAAAAGTAATTAGAGATGGCAATATTAATATCAATATTGATATATATGAAAATGTGTTTAAAACCAAATCTTTTATTAGGGAAGTTTAAGCAGTTTGTATTTATTGTCATGCCATGCTCTCCATCTGCTACTGTAGGTCTTTTTTGGTGACTCAATATCCGATGATGAACTGAGTCAAACTAAACAAGGAAAGAATAAAGATTTCAGGCAACATTCCTTCTCTGTGCTCCAGGCCCTCAGCTTTGGAGTCTTGCTCTGGCTAGTGAATGATGCAATCCTTAACCCAAGACATCGCCCGGCCTTCTTGGTCCTGGACCATAAACCTAGGTCCAACTTGAAAGGGGAATCAGAAACTTAGCTCCGAGGGATGGAGGTGAAATTCAGCTTTTATGCTCCATTTACTTAGAACGATCCTCTGATTATTACAGGAAGGTTTTGAGCATGGCTGGGGAAAAATTACACTTCTAGCCTCATCACAAGCTACTCACCCCACTGAATCTTCCTCCACCGAGAATTTTTCTCTGGCTCTAAAAACTTTTGTGCTTGGTGCTTGCTCCCTACCCCAACTGTGAGCACTCTGCTGCCACTTCCGGCCGTGCCAATATGTCCTTATCCCTTCAGCCCACACACATAGTGCTCATTGTCATGTGATCATGATGCTACAAATCGTGCATAAGCAAAAAATGAGATAAAGTATTTTTCTTATATTCTTGATAGTATTTCAGATCTAACATGATTTCCTAGTAGTATTACACATTTCTTTTTAATTTTATTACACTCTTCTTGGGAAAATTATATAATCTATCTAGTACTAATAATACTGAAAATAATATCTACTTCTCAGCTCAGGCATCTCTGGCCAGGCAGCGCCAACATGGAGAACAACACTGAGCCGCTGAAAGTCTCCAAACAGATATACTCGAAATGTCCTCAGGGTGAAGTCCTATCAAAGGGAACACACAGGATCCTGCAGATCTGAGATTCTGGGCCTTTCTTCAGCAGAGAACTAAACCATGAAATATTTTGAAAGGACCTTGTGCAGAAAGCCATGAGCGGAAAAACCAGTTTTTCAGAGAAGGGTCAGTCGAAAATATTTTATCCTCTTTAAAAACAAAGAACTTAGAAAGAATGCAGATCTCAAATCAATGTAGAAGCTCAGGTTATTCACTAATAATAAATGTCTGCTACTTTTAGAAAGGGGGGTGAAATCCTTACCGTGTCATTTTTCTTGTCTTTCAGCATCAACACAGAGGCAGGAAGAGAAAGCTGGAGCCTTAAAGGGTCATGTTCTGCAGCTGACTGCCAGCTTTTCCCTGGATTAACCTGAACAGACCTTCATGGGGGCTCAGGTCCACAGTCACAGAGGCGATCAGTTCCCAGAACTAGGCCTTCTCAGGAAATAATGACTTCGGAAGGAAGCTTCTGAGGAGGGAGAGCGGGCCTAGGACTCCTCCTGATCCCTCTTCTGGCCACCCACGGGAGTTGAGCGGTGATGGATTCCAGCCACAGGTCTTGGCCAGTAGGAGGTGGTGTGAAATGTAGTGGAAGGACTATTGGTTTTGGAGGCACACTTCCTGGGCCCTGCCTTTGAACATACCCCAAGTTGTTAACTTGTGTAAGCTTCAGTTTCCTCATTTAATGAGTACCGGCCTGCACACCTCACAGGGTCATTGTGAAGATCGCTTCGGAGAATGTGTGTGAAAGAACTTTAATATGACACCGTGCTATACATTTGTGAACCTTACTATTATTGCGTTGAAATTTTGACCTTGAATCCTAATCCCTAGGCCAGGGGTCCTCAAACTTTTCAAACAGGGGGCCAGTTCACTGTCCCTCAGACCGTTGGAGGGCCGGACTATAGTAAAAAAAAAAAAAAACTATGAACAAATTCCTATGCACACTGCACATATCTTATTTTGAAGTAAAAAAACAAAACGGGAACAAATACAATATTTGTATTTGCATGTGGCCCGCGGGCCGTAGTTTGAGGACCCCTGCCCTAGGCATTCAGAATCTAATCTTGAAAGAGTTCATTCCCAATAGAACATTCTACTCAGCTTCCAAATTCGTCAGAGTTATTCCACCGAGGTGAAGGCTGCGGTTAACTGCCTGGCCAACCCGCATCTCTAGGCCTCCCACACCTACCTACCTCTCTCTGGGCTTCTATTTCTACACCAAAAAAAGTATATTTTTTGCTAATTTGACAAAAAATATAGGTACAATTTTGAGTATGCTATGCATATGTTGGGGCAGGGAGTATGTAGGAAATCTCTACACCTTCTCAGTTTTTCTGTGAACCTAAAACTGATCTAAAAAATAAAGTATATATTTCTCCAGGCTGGTGTGGCTCAGTGGTTGAGCGTTGACACATGAACCAAGAAATCACCAGTTTGATTCCCAGGCAGAGTACATGCCCTGGTTGCAGGCTCAATCCTCAGTGGGGCACATGCAGGAGGCAGCCAATTGATGTTTCTCTCTCATCAATGTTTCTACCTCTCTATCCCTCTCCCTTCCTCTCTCTCTCTCTCTCTCCCTCTCTCTCTCTCTCTCTCAAAAAAAAAAAAAAATATATATATATATAATAAAGTATATATTTTAAAAATATATAAAATATTAGAATGCGGGCTTCTTTCGGTATGAAGATCAGCTCTTCCAAACAAGAGGTTTTTTTGAAACCCTAGAGATAAATCTGCATATATAAGAAGCCAGATCCCTAGACTTTGTTTGTCTTTGTCCACCTTGGCCAGTAGGTGGCACCCTTCTCATACAAAATTTTTTAACAGTCCACGGAGTAAAATGGATCCTACTTTCTATTTCCTTTTTGCTACAGCTACTGTTACATCATTGCAACAGGGACATTCCCTTTCCAAAAACTTTCTCGGGGAGGGAAAAATCCTTTCATATGAGAGTTTCCCTAAAGCCTAGAACTTTCACTCAACTTTTGCTTTCAATTGGTGGCTTTGTACTCTGAAGGAAAAATTGACAGCCGGAAACCTTAATGAAAAAGGAAGCAGCAGCATGAACGGGCAGTTGCAGTGTAATGAGGAGTGAATAAAGGAAACACACTGGGGATTTCTACTTGGCGTGAAAGGGAAAGATATGGGAGTGAAGGAGTGGGATCCAGAAAGCAGAGGGGAAGGGGAAATTGTGCCGGGTATCAGAACTATTAAATGAATACTGTATATAGATATGGGTATGATAACAGACAAGAGAGGTCCTCCTCTCCCCCAGTTGCTAGTGGGGGTGGATTTCTTTCGATCTCCCAAGAAAAAGAGACTCACACAGGAGGATGTGATATTGTAGAAAGCTGCATTTCCATGGCATTACACCCCTGAGTTTCCAAAGTTCCATTTCCCTTTGCCCAGTCATGGAAGTGTAGCTAGGGTTTCAATAGGACTAGAATCAGTCTATGTCCAGAGTTTCCTTTCCATGTTAGAGCAGAATCCAATCCAGCATCCGGCTCGCATAATCTGTGTGCCCCGCTGTAGTCCATCAGTCCATGGCATGCGGGGTCCACACGGCCACATGGCTATGGAGGAAGCAGGGGAAATGCAAGGAAGCCAAGGGCACAAGAGCAACAAGAGAGAGAACTCCTAGAAGTTGTGTTTTCCCAAATATTTGCATGCTTGCAGTGGCCACACTCATTTTGGCCAATGATCTGTCCCCCGGAGTGACTGACACACAAGTACCTTCCCTAGGTCACCCCAACTTTACTGGACATGCATCTGTCTTCCCTTCGTTGGATCCCTTTCCCCAGTGTTATGCAGGGAATCGGCCAGTGGCTCCCTGGGGAGTGCAAAGTTGCAGCTTCCTGGTGAAACTGCGCAAATGACAAGCCTATAATATCTGACCTTCCCTTTGCTTCTGTCCTATTATTAATAACTAGCTGACCACAGTGGTATTACTCTCTCCCTTCAAGAACTTAAGCCTTGTAATCTTACAAGGAGATAAATGGGTGAATATCTCCATCTTCTTGTAATTGCTTTCTGCTGTCACGGGGCATAGTCCTGCCTATCCCAAGGCTCAGAGATTCTTCCTGTCTGACTGAGGAAGGAGGAGCAAACGGGAAGGGGAGTCTTCATGCAGGGAAGAGGGATTCTGCAAAGTCCGGGTCAGCCTGGTGTCCCCGGGAGGTGACATAAGCAATGTCCAGAGGATGACGCGTTCGACAAGCTGGCATTCTTGTTGTACTCTAGAAGTAATAAGCTTGAAAAGAAGATTAAAAGGCATCATTCAAAAGTGAGCAGGCTTATGGCAACTAAAGATCTGGTGAGATGTAAACCCATGTGATAAAGGGAAGTACTAACTTACAGTGTTCCGGGTGATTTTGGAGGAGCAGCTTCCCCGGAGGCCGGTGTGGCACACCTGTCTGAAGCCCTTCTGTCCATCGTACTAAAGTTAAGAGAAATATTCTAAGATTTCCCCCATGAGAAACTGTGAGCCTTTTCTGTCTGAACCATTTAGACAGAAAAGGGAAAGCAGTTTCAAGCGAAGCCAATAGACTGTCCATATTTTATTGGCTCAATTATAGTTCCAAATTGTTGAGTTTCACTTTAGGACACAGTGATGCAGCTGGCTTCTAAAGTGAGGCTTATATTGTGTGAGTAAGCAATCAGGTAAATAAGGACATAGGCACACGTTTTATGAAAACAGAAGAAAACAAAACACATAGCAAGTTATAAACCATTTGAGAAGACTTCCAGATGTAAGGCTTTCGTTGGAATGGCATCCAGCAATGACAACCTGATGGATTATCTGTAGTTGGAACATCTCTGGTGATGTCATCAGGTCTGAGTTCTGTGTGGCGTGCAGACATAGCCTTAAAAACAAAACTTTGAAGACAGTTCATTGTAGTGGAGTCCAATATCCACAATTGGGTTTTGTGGTTTTTATTAGCATATAATTTTGCTCCCCGAGATTACTCTCATTTTTAGAAAGCCTGCAATAAGTCCAGTTTTAGTTTGGTCTTATTATTTGCATAAACATAAGAAGACTAGTAACTGATCAAATAGATCACACAGCCCTGGACAGCGTGGCTCAGTGATTAGAGCAAGTATCAGGTGAAAAGGTTTTCAGTCCCATTGTCTTAACAATGAACGGCCACCAGGGGACCTCGCCCTGGGACGGAGCCGATAACCAGCATCCCTCCTCCTCCCCAGCGCACAGCCACAGCGTGGAGGGGCGCTTTGGCTGGGGAACTGGCAGGGGGGTGGCAGGAGGCAGAACTCTGGGTCTGCGAGCCACAGCAGCTCCAGTTCCCCCTTAGTGCCATGCACCCACGAAATCCAAGCCTACTGAGGCAGGTGCACTGTCAGGGCAGAAGCAGAGGAGACAGGAGGCAAGGGAAGAAAGAGTCTGGGGGTTCCTTGGCTGGGAACCCGGTACCCGTACCAGGTGGCTGTGAGCCTCATTTTAAGTCCTCATCTAGGGGCACGGGCTTGCTGGTCTCTCCCAGGGCTCAAGCAAGCTGGGGGCACTGGAGTTTTGGGTACCAGCAATGAATCTTAAGGCAGCAGTGAGTGTGTGCTGGCTCCCCATGTTCTGCGCTATTCTGGCACCCAATTTCATATTACCCTGCAGGGACTCCTAGCCCTGGGGCCCAGCCGGCAAAGAGTGTTTAATGTTCTATATTAACTTAAATAAACAGTAATTTATCCAATTACATATTCAAATAAAAATTTATATACTTCAAAATACTACCGATATAATTTAAAATCATTCAAAACTACTAAATATTTTTGACATTTTTAATTATTTTCTTAACATTTACTTTTGGGTACTTAACTTTTAATTTGCCTTCATATCAGAAAATAATTTTTAACTTCACCAGCCATTAGATATTCATCTAGATATTGTCAACAGTTTTTCTGTTTAGCATTGGACAATGAGAAGACAATTTAGACAAAATCATCAATTTGAATCTTTTGTATTTTGAATTAAATCTAACTTCCCAAAGGACTTCTAGTGGTTTCAATCCAAGCCTAGGCTTTTCAAACAAAAGGAAACAGCTTTAATCTAAATGTATAACTGCATAAACATTATCATGTAAGTAGTTAATTTTCAACTCTGACCCTGAGCTCTTCTTTACTCTTTTTATTTTGCATAGGAAGCCAAGTTGCCTCAGCTTTCTAGATTCCTACTCTTTAAATCAGTGGTTCTCAACCTTCCTAATGCCGCGACCCTTTAATACAGTTCCTCATGTTGTGGTGACCCCCAATTTCATTGTTACAAATTGAACATAATTAAAGCATAGTGATTAATCACAAAAACAATATGTGTTTTCCGATGGCCTTAGGGTCGTTCGACCCCCAAAGGGGTCGCGACCCACAGGTTGAGAACCACTGCTTTAAATGGTAGGTGCTAGTATCTGAATGTTAGTGTCCTCCCAAATTATTTTTTAAAATCCTATGCCTGGAGTGATGTAGGTGGGACCTTCGGAAGGTGCTTAAGTTGTGAGGGCCCAGACCTCATAAAGGGGATTACTGCCCATATAAAAAAAAAAAGGCTCCCGAGGGTCCCTCCTGCCTTCTAGCTAGTGAGAATACAACAAGAAGTCTGCGATCCAGAAGGCCCTCTGACCATGCTGAAGCCATGATCTTAAATCTGTTATTAATAAGCTACCCACTTTGTGGTATTTTGTTATCAAAACCTGAACTAGACTAAAGCAGTAGGTATGAAGACATCTTCAGCAAATCAGCTCATTAGAAACTGGACTCTGTCTTATTTGCTTTGTTATTTGCATATTTGAGGACTCAAGGATAATGTCCACGTCTACCTTGAGTGGAAGAATGACGGAGCCCTTTCATATAGACAGGGAACACAGAAACTAGAGCAGGGCCTAAGGGCAAGAAAGGCTAAAAATATATATTCAATTTTGGACATGTTCAGTGGAGGTATTCTAGGGAAGCCAGTAGAAATATGGGTCTCATGTTTGGAGACATGATTCTGACTAAGGACGTACATATGCCAGTCATAACCATGGAAATGACATTTGGAACAATTTGGGAGGTCGAGACTATGTGCAGAGAGGATGAAGTGTGGCACCTAGCTTAGAACTGTGAGGAACACCAACAGTCCCTAAAATGAAAGGGGATGGTTAACAAAGGAGAGGAGGGTCAGGAAAGCAGGCGATGGTGGCATAGAAGCCAGATGAAGGTCAGACTTTAAATGGAGGATGTGGTCAATGTCAGATGCTTCTGAAATGTCTGCCACACCCAGCTGACAGTGATCTCTGACCTGTTAGATGTTGCTTATTGTAAACCTTGGCTGAGCAGTTTCAGGTCCCTTCTAGAGCCTCTGGATTTCGGACCTCTGGCTTCCAGAACTGCGGACACTCCTCTGCAACATTACTGCTCCCTGCTCACCAGGAAGCAATCACAGGAACCGGGTAGGGACTCACTCGTTCTGAGGCCTCTCGGGTAGATCCTGCCTGCTCAAAGCCAACATCACTGGTGCATGGGGAGCTCAGAGCTGAGAATGTTCTGGTCTGTGGAGAATTTCATCATCACAGTTTAGAATCTAAATCACAAGAAACTCAAGACTTACTTCCCTGCTTCTCCCTGATCCCTGGAGAGGCCTTTGCCACTGGACAAAGCCCAAGGCAGCTGGGTGCCCTGGGATGTGCAGGAGGTGACCCCTGAGCAAGGGAGAATGGCTCCACGAAGCTTCACCCCACTTCATTATCATTTTATTTTTTATCTGATCCCAAAGGTTTCACTTTGCTTTCTCCCACCTCCCTAATGTATCACCAATGGATTTCATGTAACCCACTTTGATTGTAATGTATAAAACAAGATGCAAAACAGCCATTCTCCTTTATCTCAATCTATTGAGATTTTACTTCCCGGCATTTATCGACAGTTTGACTCAAACTCACAAAAATTCTTCTTACCATGGTCTAAGTGAGAAAGTGAAGATTATTCAAAAAGTGGTGATGGAACATAGATAACAACTTGAAAACATACAGTAAGCTCCCAGGTGATGCTGATGGTCAAGGGCAGGGGTGGGCAAACTTTTTGACTCGGGGGCCACAATGGGTTCCTAAACTGGACCGGAGGGCCGGAACAAAAGCATGGATGGAGTGTTTGTGTGAACTAATATAAATTCAAAGTAAACATCATTACATAAAAGGGTACCGTATTTTTTTTTTTTTTAGTTTTATTCATTTCAAACGGGCCGGATCCGGCCCGCGGGCCGTAGTTTGCCCACGGCTGGTCTAGGGACCACATTTTGATTTTAAGCAGAATTTTTGCTCTAGTGCAGTCACTGTTCTCAGCCTTAGCTGCACATTGGAATCACCTGGAATGTTTTTAGTCTTATTCCCCAAAGGTTCTGATTGACTTGGTGTGGGGTATGACCCAGGCATGATTGATTTTAAAAATTTCTAATATGTAGTCAGGGTTGAGAATCATTATTGTAAATTTAGTCTTCCAAATGCTTTTTGATTGCTTTATCCTCTCTTATGCCCATTACATGTACCTTTTTTTTTTTTCATTGCCTAGAGAATATAGGTCAGACTCGTTAGGATGGCTTACAAGGTCCTTTACAATCTCATTACATTCATTCATTCTTTCCAAAAAACCTACTGATGATGATGGTTGCACAACAATGTGAATGTATATAATGCCACTGAAATTTCCAATTAAACATGGTTAAAATGATAAATGTTGTTATGTATACTTTACCACAATAAAAAAATTGAGCACCTTAAAAAAAATACATTAAATTTTATATCAGAAGTCTAGTAGAGTCATATCCATAACAACAAAATACTAGGATAATTATACCACCTCATCACGGGAAAAAATTAAGAGAGCATTTTTAAAATGACAAAAGAAAAACTAATCTCACTACATTACAAAAATAAGGTGTATGTTAATACATATACTAAAAAATGATGGGGAAATATTTGCTGTAAATAAATATTAATATTCTTATTAAAATAAAGATTTTAATAAAAATTACTCTTCATTTCAACCAGAAAGAAAAACTACTAAACAGAACACAAGCAGTTAATGCCACTTTAGCATGTTAAGAATTGGCACTGCCAAAGCAATAGGATAAAGGGCAAGGAATGTGACATCAGTGCTATGTAAAAAAACAGGAAAATTATCTCCAAAAGGTCAAAATGCAAAGAAAAAGCAATTTTGATCTCAAAAATTAACTGAATGGCCCTGCCTTTGTAAAACTGTAATACTGTTAGGGATAGAAATACAATATTGGGGACTAGCTATAATTTTAAGAAATATTAATCATGCTTTGTTAACCATGATTTTTCTGCTCTGATTAGAAAAAGCACATCCTAACCTGGTTGAGAGTTGTACGCTCTGGAACATGGGAGCTAATATTGAAATGCGGCCCATCCTCCTTTTCTGAGAACTGCCCAGATTAACAACCTTGTTGCTGAGACAATTTGGTCCCAGAGGCACCCACCCTCTGTGACCTCCCCAACCCCCATTGCCTGTAACCTGTAACCACTATATCTTGCCTACTTTCCCATGTAATCTTTGTCCCTCTACCCAATATAAGTAGCTGATTTGTGGGGAGGGGAGAGCATTATTGGAATAAACACTTATATATGACTCAACTCTGTCTCTGTTTAATTGGCTCAAGTAGTGACAGATAGGCCAGACCCATTGGTTGTTCGGTTACAATACTGAGGAAAAAAATCAATGCAAACAAATGCCAGTTAAATTATATTTATTATATAAAGAGATCACATAACTTGATATGAAAAACAAGGCAACCTCAATAGGTACTACAAAGGCAAAGGACAAGAACATCTGATCAAAGGAAACAAAAATTTAACCTCATTAATAATCAAGGAAATAATTGGGATGCCATTTCTTGCTTATTCTATGCACAAGGCTAATTTCTATGCACAGCCATTTCTACATTTTCTATTTTCTAAATATACTCAAATGTGTTATTTTTAGTAATAAAAAACTGAGTCATTAAAAAAAAAAACATAGAAGTATGAAAACTTCTGCCAATGCAGAAATCATGAAAAGCATTGAAATGAATCAATACTTTAATGGGCAGTGAAGTTCAGATCCCTGGAAGCCAATTCCTTTTGTCTTGGTTCCTGAGTTTTATTATGGTATTGTCAATAATAAGAAGGATGTTTCTGACTTATACTATGACAATTTCCTAAGTATAGGGATATACACATACATATACGTGTATGTTAAGTGTATATATGTAAATTTTTTCTTCAGGTAGACATTCCAGGAAAGTACTTCAGAATTACTCACTACAGCCCTGGCCAGTGTGGCTCAGTTGGCTGAACGTCGTCCCATGAACTGAGAGGTCACCTGTTTGATTCCTGGTCAGGGCACAAGCCCAGGTTGTGGGCTCAATTCCCAGTAGGGGGCGTGCAGGAGGCAGCCGACCAATGCTTCTCTTTCCCTCTCCCTTCCTCTCTCTCTCTATAAAATCAATTAAAAAAATATTCTAAAAAAAGGAATTACTACAGAGGACTCCTGTGATTCCTTTTGCTGATAAGGTCCCATTAAGATCTCCCAAGGTAGTTCTCAACCAGTAGGGATGCCTTGGTATTGAAGAGCCTGGAGATCTACTTTAGTACTGCCTGCAAGAGATAGCAGTGTCCTGCGCTTTCTGTAGCTGGCTCCTTAGGGAATCTGAAGTTTGTCCTGTTCTTTAGACATAGCTAAAAGGACATTTTTCTGATCTGATGCAGAGCAGAGTTTATCTGTTGCTTACTCAGATCATGGCTTGAGGCAGATCACACAAAGCTCAGGATGCCTGGGAGGAGCAGCACCAGGGCAGCCACCCCAAATCAAATAACCTTGTTAGAATGACTAAACTGGGAGACTGAATTGAAAATCATATAGCTTTGTTCAGCATGTTTCTTTCTTTGCTTTTATAATCATAAGTTTTACTGAGCAAAAAGGTAGTAGAGCCTAAATTTACTGAGCAAAAGCAATGCTCTGGAACCTGAGCTTTGCTAAGTAATCTGTATAAAAGCAACTAACTCTAAGAAAACAATATACAAGCAGAAAAAGTAATAAGTTTCATCTGGCGGGAACAACTTAGTCAAACACTAAACTTGGTTGTCAATTCAATATGTTATAGTACTTATCTATTTCAATTCAGTCAGCATGACTATATAGACATTTATACTCTGGTACTGAATTCCCATTTGAATAGGAATAGCTGCTAGGTAGAATTTAAATTTAAAAGCAATTACTCTCTACTTGAAGTGCCAATCAATTTAAAAATGAGATATGTGCATGTATATTTATATACATATGTATGTATGTATATACATATGTATTTGTGTGCATTTTCTCTTTTTCTCACTCTCTCCAGAAATATAACTCTGACTTAGGGCTATACTGATTTTTTTTTTCAAGTTAATATTTCTGAGTTTATTATTTCTCCTGTCTGCCTAAGAAACTTCACATATTCTGAATACACCCACACAATCTAGGGAGTTGGCAGCTATGTCAAAAATTCTATGAAAAAAAGGGAAGTTGCTAATAATACTTGGTGACCTTTTCCTTATTATTTTAGGTTAGAGCTGGCAGCCACCCTTTGATGTTTTGTAATAAAAGATGAAAACTTTCAACTTTGAAGCATGATGAACATTACTATACATTTACTACAATCACCCTACAATCTGACTGACATAACACCACAAAAGGCATCTAACATTTTTTACATTATCTTTTTGTGTGTTAAAACAGCTGGCTATGTTGAATATTTTCAGAATGCATTTAAACATTTGATAAACATATTAAGCCAAACAATACAAACATCAGTTACCTTTCTCTCTAATAACTCGACCAATCACTGGAAGTTATAACTGAAGGGGAAGGATGAGATCATCCATTATGCACCACAAAGATATAACACCTTTGTCCTAGGAATGATCTGAAGGTGCTGAAAGAGGTGATTCTCTAGAAGGTGACCCAGGGTTTTCTTCAGGTGGAAAAACTGTGAGAGTACAAGCTCGAATGCCACCAAGTGACTCTGGAAGATCAAAAACTTTATGCCACTCATCCTTTTCTGGATCATATTTCTGGACAATTTCTACCATACAACGATTATTCCAAGAATATCCACCTACAACATAGATTTTATTTTCAAAGACAGCAACTCCAACATCACTTTGACCTCTTAACATAGCAGCAATCGGTGTCCACTGGTCAAGGGTTGGTGAATAGTATTCACAGCTCAGGACATCATCATAATCACTTGTTCCTCTGAAGTGATTGCCACCAATGACATAGAGCTTGTCTCCAACTGTACACATGCAATGCAGACCCCTGACTGTAGTCATTGGAGCTTTCTGCGTCCATTTGTCTGTATCTGGGTCAAAACACATGAGCTCATTTTGGAAAGTGTCATGAGTAATTCCTCCTGAAATATACATCAAGCCTCCATATACTGTTCCTGCATGGCCATAGTGGGGTTCACTCATTTTTGCAACATAGCTCCACTCATTCATTCTTGGATTGTAACATTCTACTGTGGCCAGTTCACCAGCTGCACTTCGCCCACCAACAGCATACAAATGTCCTTTGAGGGCACTCAAGTGGAAGAACGTGCGCTTTTCATTTAGTGATGCAACCTGCATCCATTTATTATACCGAGGATCAAATCTGAAAACTGTATCAACAGCAGTTTTTCCTTTTGTATCGTAATTACTTTGACCACCAACTACATAGAGAAAGTTTCCAATGACAGCAATGCCATGCTGGTAACGAGGAGCATCCATGGGGGCTAAAGACCTCCACTCCTGTGACCTTTCGTCATACATCCGCAATTCTTTACTGACAACCAGCTGCTGCCTCAAAACTCCTCCTAAGGTTACCAAGTGTGTCGAGTCGGATCGGATGGCCGTTCTATCTGACTGCATCACCGGCTGCATGTACGGCATCATTTGGTAATTGCTAGCTTCCAAGAGCAAATTCACACAGGTGTTGTCTGTTCTCATGAAATCGACTGTCTGCACGTAATTGATGAGGTCTTGGGGTGTCATGAGTGGAAATCGAATATTCTTCATTAATTTTGCAGCATAGTCCATCCGAGGATCTTCCAATCTTAGCCAGCGACAGGCAGCCTTGAACAGCTCAAGTTCAGTACAGTGCTTCAGACTATTACTGGAAAGCACAAAGGCCAGGCGTTCGAAGGGGAGTTTTAGGAACTCCCCAGTACTCAACAACGCAGTGAAATTCTTCAGGATGAAATTATTGACGTATTTGTCCACCTCGATGAGATTATAGGTGTTAGCTATTCTCCCCACTTCAACACAGTTATCCAAAGAGACTCCTGAAATAAGAAACACTTTGCAGAAGTCCAAAACAGGTAAAATCTGTAAAAAGCTGGCAGCTTCGAGGGTGTCCTGAAGGCTGTCCATATTAAGAGAAAGTTTTGCAGTGTAAATAAAGTCAATGATCTTCTTCAGACCAACCTTGTTCACGCCATGAAGCTTAATGCACATTAAGTCTTGTTCTTTCATCCCGCCGGTGAACATGGCCTTGAAATAATCGCTGGCCGACGCCATCATCGCTCGGTGCACGCGAAAGACCTCCTCCCCATCCCCGGGCACCAGCGTCACATCACAGAGCAGCCCTTCGATCCGAAGCTGATCAAAGCCTTGCAGGACCACCGCACTGTGCGTGTTGCTGGTAAAAATGCGTGTGGTTCCGGCCTTGCAAGGCTGTAAATGGGCGGAGACGCCCATGTCTCCGTTACCCAGAGACACTTTCATGGAAAAGCCTCTGGCACCAAAACGCGCGCCGAGAAAGGGGGGGGACACCGGAGCGCTTTCAAGGAAACAAAGATGTCCCCGGAGCAGGGCGGCTCGCTTTCCTGGTCAAGGGCAAGCGGTCACCGCGGCGCCCCGCAGGCAGGCCAGCCGGTCACCCCCCGTAAAGCTGCGGCGCAGCAGGACCGCCACGGGCCGGGCGCCTCAACGCTGACTGTTATGCGGCTGATTCATCACCCGAAGGCGGTGAGGGAACCCGGTTCACCTGGTCCGGCGGCCCGCGCGGTGGCTCCTCCGGCAGTTCCGCTCCGGGCGAAGGGGAGGCGCCGCCACGTCAGGCCGCTCCCGGCTCCCTCGGCGGTGAGGCCGGGCACCTCCGCGAACCGCCCGGCCCGTCGCGTCCTCCGCGGTCACGAGAGCGTCGCCGCGGCTCCGGGCCAGCCTGGGAGGAAGGGCCTGGAACGCGGGCCTGGAACACCGGCCGAGCCCCAACGCCGACGCCCAGCCGCCCCTTTCCGGAAAGGCCGAGCGAGTCCCAGGATCCCTCGGGCTAGGAGCGGCCGCGGCAGCTACTGCGCCTGCCGCGGCCGCCAGACTCGGCGGAGAGCTGCGTCGGGGGGAGCGGGGAGGGAGGGGGACGCGCAGGGCGGGGGCGGGGAGGGGGCTGTGCGGGTCCGCGCGCAGGGCCTCTGGTCACTTTGTGGGACTCCAAAGGCCGGAATCGGTGCCCGCATTTATGCTGCGCCTTTGGTGTGAACGCTTAACAGCACCTGGGCGCGGCCCGCCAATGTGCGTTCTTTAAGATTTACGCATCCTGACTTCTGCTTTTTGAATAACAATGAAATGCGGCTTTTGTGTACCGGCGGTTCTCAACCTGTGGGTCGCGACCCCTAAAAATACATCCTGCATATCAGATATTTACATGACGATTCATAACAGCAGCAAAATTGCAGTTATGAAGTAGCAACGAAAATTTTATGGTTGGGGGTCACCACAACATGAGGAACTGTATTAAAGGGTCGCGGCATTAGGAAGGTTGAGAACCACTGGCTGTAAACTGAAAGGAAAGGAGGCAGACCTAGCGGGGAAGATGCTTAGAATTTTTCCTCTATAAAAGGCTTTATAATTTATATTCCACGCCATTTCATGGACATCTCAATTATAACTGTGGTTCATATTTTCAAAATTTTAATCATTTAAAATACATTTCATTTGTCTCTTAAATACCCAATTGTGACCATGCTCTATGTAAATAATAAAACCTTTTTATTTTTTGCCTCCCAGTGGAATTCCATCATCAGTAATTTTTTTCATGCTTCTCTTTTCCACTCACAAATGTTAAATGACTACACAATTGTCCAGTAATTAGACATACAATAGTTTCCTTTGCCCATTATTTATTTCTGAATACATACCTTCTTATCCTCCATTGTTTTATACAATCTGTAATAAGCATAGAATGTGGACACTTTGCCCTGTTTGGGGGTATATTCTAAAGGTAGAATACTGAATCCAGGATGAATATTTCTTTCCAAAACATCACCAGCAATGCTAGAGTATGCATTTCCCTCTATTAATATCTCCTTTACAGATATTTTATTAACTTGAATTTCTTCTTTAATTACTAGTAAATTTAAGTTTGGCATATGAATAATTGTACCGTATACTTTGACATATTCCTCCAACATTATCCACAATTTGTATTACTGTCTTAAATTCTTCTAGGTTACTTATGCATATGCAAACTAATCAGAATATAGCCATATTCTTTCTACACTCTCCCTATTTTTTAATAAAGGATAGCATCCCATACTCACTGTTCTGCACCTATCTCTTTTCACTTGGAAATCTTCCCATATTAATAGATAGAGAACTTCTCTATTTTATTTTAAACAGTTGTATTGTTTCCCACTGAGTGAGTGTGTCCTAAATTATTTAGGGAGTCCCCTACCCATGGACATTTAGCTGGTCCCAATTGCTTCCTGTTGTTTCTGGGGAGATGGCAGCAAGGTCCAGCGGCTTGGACCACTGCTGTCCTCCACCAAATCCTTCAGCGAGTTTTCAACATGTTCAACATAAGAGGTTGGTTGGAATGAAATTAGCCTGGAGAAAATCTTCACTGGACTTGGTCAGCATTTGGACGTCCTGGAGACCTGCTTGGTGTCAGAGCTGGGGATGGAAGGACTCTCCTAAGCCATGATAACTCCATACTGGACCTGAAGATGTACTTCCAAGGACTCAGTCTCTCTATGGAAATGCAAGCAGAGAGCTGCTGTACCTGGGAATTTGTGAGAGGAAGAAATCATGGTACCTTTCTCTTTTTTATCAAGCTTCCGAGAATGATTGACAGCCATGGAATCAGTTCTGTGCTCTTAATAAAACAATTATTGCCCTAGCTGTTTTGGCTCAGTGGATAGAGTGTTGGCCTGTGGACTGAAGGGTCCCAGGTTCGATTCTGGCCAAGGGCACATGCCCGGGTTGTGGGCTCGATCCCCAGTAGGGGGCGTGCAGGAGGCAGCCAAAACAATGATTCTCTCTTATCATTGATGTTTCTATCTCTCTCTCCCTCTCTGAAATCAATAAAGAAATATATATTTTAAAAAACACACAAAAAAACAATTATTACGGACCAGTGCAATTTATCATTTCAAAAGACTATTTTTTTCTGCCTTCACCATGAAATAAATTAAATTTGTCACAATCCTTATCAGTAGTGCTACTGAACCACCTCCCAAAATTGTTTTGCGTGCCCAATACACTAGTAAGCCAAACTCTGCGACACTGGCGGTTCGAGATAGAGAAAGGCTTCAATTTGGCTAAAGATAGAGGACAGGAGAGCAAGATCTTTCAAATCTTTCTTCCTCACAAACAAAAGTAGGGAGCTTTTATGTGGCTAGGGAGGTGGGGGGCAACGGGGCGGGGGGGGGGGAGAGTTTCAGAGAACCGAAGGGAAAGACTCTCTTCAATAACAGATAACATTTTGTGCAACCAGACTTCTGGGCATCCGCAGCTGGTGGCAACTTTTATTCCTTATGTAAAACAAACTCATAAATTCTCCTTGTGACCCTGAGCTATCTCCTCCTGTTTGACAAAGAAACAGGACATCAGCAACTTTATTGTGAGAATAAGGGGTGCTGTGTTGATGAACCAAGATTCTGCATAAATATTTCATAATTGTGTGTCAGATATCTTTAAAGCAAAAAGCAGAAGCTATACATCTTGTGACCATCACCATTAACTTACATTGTTTTGTGCTTAACTAGTTGTATTTTCTATTATGTCAAGCAAAGTGTACTTTTACACATTTCTCCTAGAACTTGCTTAGTAGGCGCGCCTTCAGAACATGACCAACCTTTTCTTAATCTTTGACTCTAAGCTATGTGACAACCAAAGCAATTGAAACATTTAGTTAAAGCCTACACCTATATCTCTAGACTCTATGATATAATACCTAAGCATGTTTATTGTTAACTGCCAGTTTCAGTAGTATTAAGCCACTATGAGTTAATGCATCCAGTACATAAGGGGCACCAACCCAGCGTAGATGGCCTTTTAATATACAGATCTACTTAACGATCTATTTTACTATATTTATTGTATTTCAATATTTTCTTGCATATCATGTTTACCTTTTCTTACATATCACGTAAATTTACATTAAAAGTGTTCCCCTTTATATTTTTAAATTTTCTTTATTATTTGAAGTTTTACTTTCAAAAGCTTTTTGCATGTTTATTTTTAATAAATCAATGCCAAGACTGATTTTGCAACTTCAATTGAAGGATGGAGATGCGGTTCATTCATTTCATTCAAGCTATATGTAATACTTGAATATCTAAATCACAGGTTCCATGACTACCTTCAAATTTTAAAAAAAAATGAAGAAAATGTGCCAGCCTCTCTCAGAACTATAGAAAATGTAGGCCTCAGTTGGTGAGAGAGAGAGAGAGAGAAACAAACAAATAAAAATATATAAAGTACAGACCCAAACGCCCACTTCCTAGAATGACTGGCAAAGGCTTGGCAGGACTCTGCCTTCACTGTTCAGACTTTGGATTTCTGTTACCAGACTGAAGGGGTTCGTTTGCCTGCATGCATCAAAGCCCAATAAGACACGAATAGGAGTGTGCAGCCAAGAAAGAAAGGATTTATTAACACATTAGCACCCAGCCTATTTTGTCTTCCGGACAGAAAGTATAGTGTCAGTCACCGGTGACTGACATGGGGCTTAATGTGTGAAGGAGATGGGTCCATGCCCGGAGTCACAGGTAGCTTCCTGCTCAAAGACCTGGCTCCCCGATGGCTTCCAGGGGATGGATGACATAGGAAAAAAATCATTAATCATGGTGACTAATGGAGTTTGGGCTGTGGTCTCTACTGAGTGGTTGGTATTAGGGTAGGGGTATCTAACCATTGCATCTGGTCCTGATGTCGGCCATGCAGTTGCTCTGTTCAGTTTCGTAAGGATTTGTTCTGTGGGACTGTTCTGCTCTCCTGGGTCTGGAGCTAAAACACAACTGAGGTCAAGATATTATGTTTCACTCTGTCTCAGTAGTCAGCAGACACAGAGCCTTGTTCCTAAGACTGTTGGTTGTTGAGCAGAACCTCATTGTCCTGAGGACTTAATGATTATACAACAGACAGGGAGGTGAATGAGGCAAGGGAAGTGATAGGGGGAAGGGGATGCAATAAGAATAGGACCACAGTTCTTTAATGATTATTCACCTTCCTAACTATAGGTAAGAGGCTTTCCTACAGACCCTGGGAAACTGGAGGATGTGCTGCAAGATTAAAACAGAGCTGTAAAAAGTAAGAGACGCCTTGGGGCCCGGATGAAGCCATTGCTCAAAAAAAAAAGTACATTTTGATAACAGACAAGGACAGGATTTAGTTGCTGTGCCTAGACCCTGATACCCTCAGGCAGTTTTTGCCTCAGGAATGCTGACCATTCTCAGGTCCCAGGAACTGGCCGAGCTGGGTTTTAACAGCATTGAAAATGAACTACTAATACCTTGTTATGGGACTTCAAGATCCCGGAAGGAGACACACGGACCACAGACCCTGCAGGCATTCTGCTCCTCCTCCCCCCTTGCCTGCAGTTTTCTTCCTCACCCCTATATAATCAGCCTGCTAGTAGGGCAGGTGAATTTACAAGATGACTGCTGCTCTCTCCGTTCTGCCAGCATTATTGGAATAAACAATCATATAATATGACTCATTCTTGTCTCTGCTTAATTTGGTTCAAGTAGTGACAGGCGGTCTGGACCCTTACAGTTTAGACCAGCCGTGGGCAAACTACGGCCCGTTTGAAATGAATAAAACTAAAAAAAAAAAGACCGTACCCTTTTATGTAATGATGTTTAATTTGAATTTATATTAGTTCATACAAACACTCCATCCATGCTTTTGTTCCGGCCCTCCGGTCCAGTTTAAGAACCCATTGTGGCCCTCGAGTCAAAAAGTTTGCCCACCCCTGGTTTAGACTATTGTAATCGAAAATTCCCAAAGAAACGCAGGGAAAGGAGAGATTTAGAAAAGGAGAGACC